CTGGGAAGGGCTTCAGTGGAACCTTTCAACTTTGCTTCCCTTATTATCCCAGGTAAAGAGCTTGTCTGTAAGATGATGTTCAGGAGTTTTGCACAGCTCGGGTATCAGAGTTGGAGTTCATGAGCCAACCTCCTATTTACAGGGAGGTTGTGGAGGGTTTAATCACTAGTGAACTGCCACATTGTCACCCATGTTCTGGATAATGGCATTACTTGGGTAATGGCATTACTTGGGTAAAGAAAGCTGACTTCATTAGCAAGGAAAGCTTTTAATGGCAGTAGAATACTGGGCTCAGTGTCCTCAGGTAGTCTGTTGTGCTGCTTTTGTTGCAGGCTGGGCTATTTAAGTGTTCTGGGCTACAACCAATTCACCTGAGCAGGGAGTGGGGTGGGTTCTCCATGCCAGGATGCTCCCAAGGAGCAGGACCCAGCTGTTCTTTCCTTAAGGGAGGAGAGGTGGGAGGAGGGAGGATGACCTAGATTAGCTACTCTGAGTCTAAACCAGCCTTTCTTCTCCAGCTGTGAGCTGAGACTGTGCTGGGCCATGTGGAGCCCTGGGATGAGGCCTTGGTGTCCCAGGAAGAGCCAAATGACAGCACAGACATTGAAGTGCCTGCTCCCCAGCTCCCTTTATTGCACATGTGGGCCCCCACAGCTTCAGCCATGCTTAGCTCTGGAGTCTGATCCTGCCCCTTTGCTGTTCCTCTCCCAGGGTTTGCAGGGAAGGAGCAATGAAGGATAGGAAAAATGGGGAAATGGAGAAGGGACAGCTTAGGGCTGGTACATTCCCAGGCTGTCATGTTTCTGCCATTGCAGAGACTAAATAACCTTGGTTTGGGACAGCAGCAATCACATAATTCCTGGGGGTGATTCTGGATTGGGCTAAAGCTGCAGTGCCAGAGGAGAGCCAGGGTCACCCAGGGCTTGCCTACCCTGGGGCTGTACCTTAAAAGCAAATCACGCTCTGACCAGACCCCTCTTGTAGCCCAGATGTGCTCTATCCAGAGAAGCAGCAGGATGAGGATTCTGAGGAATCTGATGAGGAAGAAGAGGAGGAATCTGAGGAGGAAGAAGAATCTGAAGAGGAAGAGTCTGAGGAGGAAGAGCCACCACCAAAGAAGAGGTATGGCAGCATGAGAGATGAGTGGGCTCCTTTTGGATGAAATAAGCTGTAGAGTGCTCAGGTGTGTCTCTTGCTGTGGGCACATATCCACAGGGCTGTTGCTCACAGGTGTTGGCAGAAGTTTCTAGTTATTCCTTATTCCAGAGATACTGACCTCCCCCATTCCATAATTTGAAGCCTTCCTCTTTTCTCCTCCAGATAGAGAGAGCCTGTGTTTATTCTTTACATTGCTTTTAGTTTCCTGCTTTAGAAACTGTGAAGTTTCACATGGAACTTTTTGTATTTATTGTTTTCTTTAAAAAATTCTTCCCTACAGTAATTATTTTCAGCTCTGCAGCCAGATATGAGACCTACCTCACTCAGAATTTGGACTTAATATGAGTGTTTGTTAAGTAATAAAATCCCATTTAGAGAGGAGAGATAGTGCTTAGGGCTCTTAATTGTTCTGACAGCTGACTGATTCACTGTCATTATTTATATGTTTATTTGCCTAACAAAGGGGTTGGGAGCTGGCAGCTCTGTGGGGTTGGGAAGTGCTCAGTGTAGAGCTACCAGAGGAGCTCTTGCTCTTTGGGATTTAGCTCATGGAATGTGCTGGCAAAGGACAGGGATGCCAAGATGTGCTTCATTTATGCAAATTGCTGACAGCAGCTCTGCTCTGGGTACCGTTTGTGCCTCCACTGAGCTCCTGTGCTGTCTCTTCCTGGCAGGATGCAGAAGAGACCACCCCCCAAATCCCGGAGCAGGGCCCCTCCGATGAAGCGAAGAGAGTCCAAACCCAAGCCAAGGAAAACCCCCACCGCCCGCCGGGGCAAAGCAAAGCCCCCTCCCAAGGTTAAAACCCCTGCTAAGAAAGCCAAACCAGCAGCCCCAGCCATCAAGAAAGCCTCCAGTGGCAGCTCTTCCAAGAAACCAGCAGCCAGTGGGAGGAAGGAAGTGAAACCCTCTGCCAAGGGCAAATCCACCATGAGGAAATCTCTCCGGGCAAAAAAGTAAAATGTTTCCAATGTCAGGGAATCCCATGGTCAAATCCACAATCTTGTTTTATAAGTCAACGTGCATTTGTATTTTAGTTCTGATGCTTAAACACTTCTTTAATTTTTTTTAATTTTTTTTCTTGAATGATGGGGAAAAGCTGAAAACTAAATCAAACCAACCCGAGCATTCGTTAGATCTCGATGCTGTGCCTCGTGCCTGCCCCTCCCCTGGAACGAGTCATCTTTACTTTCTGCAATAATTTTAGGACTTTTCTAGGACGTCTCTAATCTGTACATTTATGGTATTCCACGTGGGTTTCGGGGGGGAAGGGTTGGCTTTTAAAACAATTCTTCAGAGAAGATCTTTATACCTTTAGACAGCAGGAACAGGATGATCAGGGGAATGTGATTCTTTACTGAGAAGGCGCCGTGGCAGAGGAGTCTTCCCTAGATCCCTGCATGCCGAGGTCCTTGGCGCTCCCGTGAGGGAGCTGTGTACAGACAGCACTTGCACTGAGCCCCGAGGTGCTGCTCTCCTCAGCCACAGGCCCAGGGCTGGCTGCTGAGTCGGATCCTTGGTGTCTCCTGAGGGTCTGGTGCCAGAGGGGCTCCAAAAGGGGCAGCTCTCGGTTAGGCGGGTGATTTGAATTAGTGTTTCCACACCACATCTGTTACCTTAAAACCAAAATATATCAAAGTCTTCTTGAATCCAACTTTCAAATGTTTTTAAGAGATGAAAAGCCTGAGTTTGTCACCTCTTGTTTACCCTTTTTTAAAGAGAAGTTGGAGAGCTATACAATTGCTAATGTAGAGATGTTGATACGTGAAGAACATGCGGTTTGCTAAAATAAAATGAAACTAGATTCCAGGCCTGCCTTGTGTCCATTCTCTCCTCATCCCAGCTTCTCGTCCTGGAAAGGTAGAGAAGAGGGAATACAGTCACCACAGATTGCTGCAGAGGCAGATCTTTGTTCAAAGCCAGCATGATTTAGCCTGAGCCACTGCCAAGCTCTGTAGTTGGACCAATTCCTGACCTTTTTCTTCCCTGATTTCTCTGGAGACAAAGGTGAGTGAGGAAAAAAGCTCTGTTGAAATCTCTTGCTGGTCCTCTTCTCCCCTTGTCAGTGATCAGTGAGGACAAAAGTCCCAGCTGAAACCTCCTCCCCTGGCCCTGCTCCACAGAGCAGCACCTGCATTCAGAGCTCACCACCTCCCTGCTCTGCCGTGCCCAGGGCAGCGATGCCAAGGGGACCTGACAGTCTCCAACGTGCTGCTGCGAAGAGCTGTGAGGAGGGGAGTGACACAGAAAGGGAGGAAACAGCTTCATTGAATTTCTTCTTTTCAGCTGCTGTCTCAGTGTGCTACCTCTGACTGGGAGTTTAAAAATTCCTATAGAAATGGCCTAAATTGTTCCCAACCCTGTAAGAAGGGTACAAACAGCAGGTTAGAAATCACAGCTGAGGGGAAACAAAGTGAAAGCTCTGGTCAAAGAATGATCCACAGCGATGTAAAGCAATTAGAAACATTAGTTAATGGCTTGTTCCTGGGGCTGCTTGTACCGAAGCTGTGGGGTTTGTTGGCATTGTGGTGAGATGAATTGGAGAAACTTCTCAGTGCTGGCATATTTATGGGGACAAGGAGTCTTCACCCAGGTGCTGGGCATTTTCCAACCTCCCTCCTCCCAATGGCATCCCCACACCAACAATCCCATGAGTATTTGTTAAAACACTGCTCTGGATGACACGGATTTCTCACATCCAAGCTGGAGCACCTTGAATTAAGAGTTGTGCCAAAACCTTGGTCATTGCCAGACTCTGGCTGTGGTTTGACTTAAGTGATTTCTGCACACCAAACAAAAAAAAAGTCTCAGGGTTGGTTGTATTTAATCCAAAGGAGTGGTCCAGGAGCAGTGGCTGGGATTGAATGGGAAAGTCTTCACTGCCAGCAGAGCAAACGCCTTCTGGGGGGATTGTGCCGGCTCTGCCCCTCACTCTTCCTCAGTCTCCGCTTCCTGTCCAGTCTGGGCTCTGTTATGTTGTTTCTTCAGCCCCATCTGTCCCTTTTTTTTCCTTTTTTTCCATGGTTTCTCCACTATCGATGATGGGGTGGCTCTGCCTTGAAGCAGCTGGTGCTGGCAGTGACCCAAGGGTTGAATGGTGCCAGTCAGACCCTTTCCCTCACACCCTCAGGATTGCTGGGGCATGAGGGATTTTGGATGCAGCACCGAGGGTCAGACCCCTCCCCAAACTGCTGCCTTCCCATTCCAGGAACCAACTGGTTCCTGGGACTGGGGTCAGCTTCCTTTGGCTGGCACAGAGGGTGTCTGGGGGCTCTGGGTTACGTGGTTGTTCTGCAGTGAGGCCAGAGCCACCCTCTTCATTTTTATTCCAGCAAAAGCAGGCAGCAGTGGGCAAAACTCCACAGGGAATGTAGAAATTGGGGTGAAAAGGGTCTGAGCATCAGGGCAGGGGGTGGCGGGCGAGCAACCACGTGTGTACGTGTCAGGGTTAGAAATCGCTGCTCCGCTGGGCACGCCGGAGGAGACGGCAAAAGACGCAGAGAAAATCAGTTGCCGCCGCGTTTTCCAAAATCCCGAGCGAGCGTTCCTGCTCGCCGTCGCTTCCAAGAAACGGAGAGAACCGAGGAGGAAAATTGCGGTGATTCATCGCGGGCAGATCGGAGGCAGGAAATGAGAGTTTGCTGCCTGCCCCGTGCCCGGCGTGGGCTCCGTGGGCTCGGGCTCGCCGGGGCCTGGCTGGCGGCGAGGGCCTGACACCCACGGGTCGAGCATCGCTGCGCCGCGGCCGGAGCTGCCGGAGGAGCCACCGGCGAGGGGAAAAACAACCGGCGGAGGCCGAGAGCCGGAGCAGCGGGAATTTTTCACCTGCGTTTCTCCGGAGCCATCCAAGCGAGAGCTGCCCGTGAGCCGGGGGGGTCCAGCGGGATGGGGCTCCCAGGAGATGCTCGGTGCCTGGTGTCACACATCACCTAAATTTGGGGGGGGGTCAGCATCCCTCCTTGGGGACCCCGGGGTGGTCGGTGGGCTGGGGGCTCCATTGAGAAATGAAGCGTGGGAAAAGGGGGGCGGGGCTTGGGGGCCGCCTGTCCGCGGATTGGCTGGGGGAGGGGGGAGACCCCCAAATTGTGCCGGGAAGGAGAGGGGCCAAGCTGCGCTTGTGACGGGGAGACGGCACCGCGGGGACCCCCCCCACGGCCAGGATGCGCCCGGGGCAGCCGGACCCCCTCCCCCCTCTCGCGTTTGCGGCAGGCGGCTGCGGCGGGGCCTCGGTGACACGAGCGGCGCCGGTCCCAGCCCGGCCGGGGGCTGCGCAGCACGAACCCCCTTTGGGTGGCCGAAGGGTCCGGCGCACTACTCCGTGGCTGCTCTGGACCGAAAAGCACCCCCAAGTCTGCTGCCCTCATCTCTGTATTTGGGGATCGCCCCGGGAGAGCCCCGGGGGTCTCGGTGCTGCTGCGTGGCCGGCGGGAAGTGGGATGGAGGATGGGAGGGGGAGGATGTGGGGGGACCCCAAAACCTTGCTGGAGTTCGGGATGCGAGACTGCATGCACCTCACTTGGGGTCCAGAGTGTATGTTGGGCATGCGGGGACTGCTTGGGTTTCTTTGGGGATGGAATGTGGGCACTGCATCCACCAGCAGGGACTGCTTGGGTTTCTTTGGGGATGGAATGTGGGCACTGCATCCATCACCTTTGGGGTGGAGATCTGGGGAACCTCACATCTCCCTCGGGATCAGGACATGGGGGACTGCCTGCATGCTGCTTGGAGTGGGGACATGGGAGCCTGGACTGGACCTTAGGATCAGAAGATGGGGACCCTCACATCACCCGTGCAGTCAGGGGGCTGGAACCCTTGTGTTGGGGTTGGGACCATTTTACTGGGGCCAGGACCTGGGGACAACTGCACTGGGACTTGGGGACATCTGCATTGGCGTCAGGACTTGGGGAGCTCCACACGGGGACCGCAGCACCTCCCCAGGGCTCAGCGGGCTGGAAACAGGGGACAGTGGGGGCAGGTTGTGTCTGTCCCCTCCTTCCTCGCAGGAACAGTGACCAGGAGTCGGACCCAGGCTCCCCGTGCTTGCTCCAGCCCCATCACCCTGGAGGAGTCTGGATAACTCAGATGTGGCACCAGAGCTGCTTGACCCCATCCTGATCCGGCCTTCACCCTGAATCCCCACTGCCATGAAGAGGAAGCCGGGGAATGGGCGGGGGCCGGACCCTGCGGCCCCCCAGCAGCGAGCCCGCTCTGTCACCAAGCCAGCGGAGGTGACTTACCCATGGGGGAGTGGGGGGCGACACCCCAAGATGAGATTTGGGTGCTGTTGCACCCTCATGACTCCCCAAACCAGCATCTCAGCGGGGGTCAGTTGCCCAGGGGGTGCATCGTGGGGGCTGGAGCTGACCCGGTGGGGTTTTTGTCCCCCCAGTACGTGGGATCCTTCATGGTGGAGGAGCTGGACCTGCAGCAGCGAGCAGGGCAGGTGGAGGAGCAGCTGCGGGCACTGAAGGTCGGGATCGACCACTGCTCCCTGCCCTGGGAAACACAGGAGACCCCAAATAATCGGGGCACCCCCAGGGGCACAGCCCAGCCCCCTGTGCCACATATCTCCCGGACAGGACTGTCCCCGGAGGAGGTCGGTGGTGCTGAGGTTCAGCTTGCAGGGCCTGAAGGTCTACGGTGCTGATGGGGAGGTAGGGGGCTGTGGGGTCAATGGGGGTGGGCAAAGGGTGCTGGGGCTCAGAGGGGCTGAGTAGGGGTGTCAGGGGTGTCAGGGGGTGTTGGGAGGGTCAGGGGTGCTGGGGAGGGGAGTCAGGGATGCTGGGAGGGGTCAGGGGTGTTGGGGGGGCTGGTGAGGGGGCCAGGGGTGCTGGGGAGGTGGGTTGGGGTCTGAGGAGTCAGAGTTGGTGGGGTTGGAAGGTCACGGGTGCTGGGGACGGGGGTCAGGAATGTGGGGAGGAGGGGTCAGAGGTGCTGAGGGGGTCAGGGATGCTGGGGAGGTCTCAGTGTTCTGCTGGAAAGGTGCTGGGAGGGGCTGTACCTCTCTGAGCGCTGCTTTCCTCTCGAGAAGCTGTTTTGTGTGTGCAAGCAGGGGTGCCCCTGGGGCGGGCCCGGGGGTGCTGGGTGCCCCTGACCCCCGCCCCGTCCCGCAGACGCTGCTGATGGCACACGCGCTGCGCCGCATCCTGTACAGCACCTGGAGGCTCCCCGACCGCCAGTTCGCCTTCGTGGCCCGCAACCCCCACAGCCCCCCCAGCAGCCTCTTCTGCCACCTCTTCGTGGGGCTCCCGGGAGAGGTGGTGGCCCAACCCCGCCCCGTCCCCAAAACACCTTCGTTCTTATTATTTTTAATATTTGCACTGAGCGTCTTTCACCTCCCCCAGGTCCAGACCCTGCACCTCCTGCTCTGCCGCTCCTTCCAGCTCTGCTACCTCCTGGCACACCCCGAGGAGCAGGCGGGCGAGGGGGAGCTCCCGGGGCCGGGGGTGCTGCGGGAGCCCCTCAACCCCGAGGAGGTGTCACGAAATGTCAACGCCCTCGTGTCCTTCCGGCGCCTGCCCGCGCCCGGCGGCCTCGGCCCGCTGGGCACCGGGGTAGGTGCCCCTGCCCTGCCCTGCCCTGCCCTGCCCAGCTGCTGCTCACACCTGGGGCTGTCACACCTGGGATTCTCACACCCAGGGCTGTCACACCTGGGATTCTCACACCTGGGGCTCTCACACCTGGGGCTCTCTCACGGTGTTTCCTGGCTCGGCACTCTGCTCGAGTGCTTTGGCACAGCCTGTTTGTGCACGGGGTCTCGCAGGGCTTTTCCCTCATATGGCATTTCCAGAACATTCTGGGCTGTAAAGGACCCACAGGGATGATCAGGTCCAGCTCCTGGCACAGGACAGCCCATTTCTCTCACAGCAGTCTGTATACGGTGCTTTAGCGCAGGGGTTTTGCACAGCGTGTCCCCAGGCAGCCCTTGTGCCGCCTTTTCTCACATTTTGAGCAGCACGCTGTCACTGCACACATCATTACCTGGTGTCTTGCACGGTTTCCTTGCATTTCCTCTTTGTGCAGCCTTTCCTTGCACAGCGGTGCATGTGCAGTGTTCTGCACAACCTTTCCTTGCGAGGGTCGCGGTTCACAGGGCCCATCCTGCACGGCCCCGCTGCTCTGCTCAGCCTGCTTGAAACAGCCTTTCCCTGAGGGCCCTTCCTGCCACCGGCCACTTTGCACAGCTCTTTTGCAGAAGGTTTTACAGCGCATTTTTTCCTTGGCATTTTTGCACAGCACTTTCTCTCCATGATACGTGTTTGTAGAACTTTTTTTACACAGCATTATTTCTCATAACTTTTTTACATGGCACTTTTTTCACGGTGGTTTGCATGGCTGTTTTGGCATGGCATTTCTTGCAGAAATGTCTACACAGTAAAAATGCTCTTCACAGCTCTTTTGGCACTGTGGTTTTGCACAGCATGGTGATTTTTTGCATGGCATTGTTCCACAGTGTTCTGCATGGCATTTCTTCTGCACATCATGTTTTGCACTGCATTTTTTGCACTGCATTTTCCCCACGGTGTTTTGCATGACTTTTTTTTTTTTTTTTTTTTTTTTTTTTTTTTTTGGTGGTGTTTTGCACAACTTTTCTGGTGTTGCATCCTTTGGGCAGCATTTTCCCGTGTGGTGTTTCGCCTGACTTTCCCCACGGCCAGAGCCCCCGGGCCACTCTCACAGCCTGTCCATCCCCAGGACCGGCGGCCGGAGGCGGAGGGCAGAGCCTGGCGCCCGGGGAACCCCTACTGCTCGCCGGTGCTGGTGCGCAAGAAAGCCATCCGGAGCAAAGTGCTGCGCTCGGGAGCCTACCGGGACTGCGGGGGCGAGGGACAGCTCCACCAGCAGCCCCGCGACGCCGGTGAGTGCCGGGGGGAAACTGAGGCACGGGGACACACGGTGCCACGAGTGTTTGGGGGCGAAGAGGGAATTAACGGGCTCCCGCAGCGGCGGCGGGAGGCGAAAGCAAAGGGGCGAGGAGCTTGGCCTTCCTGCCCGAGAACGAGAGCGTCCTCGCCGAGAGCGTGTGGGCCTTCGCCGGCATCGCCAGGTGAGCGCCTGTGTGCGAGCACCTGATCCTCGGCACGCACAGCCCGGCCCAGCCCCGGGCTCTGCCCATCCCCGGCCCTGCCCAGCCCCGCACCCTAACACATCCCCAGCCCTGCCCCAGCCCGGTCCCTGCCCCATCCCCGGCCCTGATCCATCCCCAGCCCTGCCCCACCCCGGTCCCTGCCCCAGGCCGGTGCCTGGTGCGGAACCCCGCGGAGCCCCCCCGGCAGTTCTCCTTCGACGGGGCGTTCGGCGGGCAGCACAGCACCGAGAACATCTACAACGAGACCGCCCGCCCGCTGGTGGAGGTCAGTGGGCACCCGGGGCAGCGGCAGTTTTGGGCACCACAATGAAAGGAGCTCCAGGAACGTTCGGACAATGCTCTCAGGCACTGGGTGGGATTGTTGGGGTGTCCGTGCAGGGCCAGGAGTTGGACTCTGATCCTTGTGGGTCCCTTGCAGCTGAGAATATTCTGTGAATACATGGCTTGGGACAGGGGCTGGAGGGTTTTACAGGTGATCCCTAAGTGAAGCAGGATGCACTTGACCTTCCCCATGCTGCAAGATGTCCCTGCCCATGGAAGAGTGGTGGAACAAGATGAACTTTAAGGTCCCTCCCAACCCAAACCATTTGGGATTCTCTGATTTGTGGGCAGAAAGCCCTGTCCACTGCTTCAAGAGGTTTAGCTACAAGGCAGAGGAGGGCAGACAGTGTCCCAGCAACAGCCTGGGAAGTTGGGAAGAAACAAAACTTTGTTAGCAGCCAGCAGGGCACCAAGGAGAGAGTTACACTGAATTGTTTTAGGTGGGTGTTTATATCATAGAATCCCAGACAGCTCTGGGTGGAAAGGGACCCTAAGACTCGCCCATCCTACCCCCTGCCATGGCAGGGACACCTTCCACTGTCCCAGGCTGCTCCAAGCCCTGTCCAGCCTGGCCTTGGACGCTGCCAGGGATCCAGGGGCAGCTGCTGTGGTATCAAACTGATGATTTCAGGGACATTTTTACTGTCAAGTGAGAAACCTTAGAGAAGATGGGGAACCTCAGCCTGGATTAGACTGGCAAAAGGATAAGGGATCCCTTTGTTTCCTTGTTAGCAGATCAGCACAGGAAACAGCTGAGGTGAGAAATGAACCTGTTGAGCAAAAAAAGACCAACCTTCCCCCCAAAAAAAGTTTTGTTAGAAGAAGTAACATGGATTAAATGGCTCGTGATGGTTTTCAGATGGAAGTTTCTAAACATGAGAACAAGCAGGGCTAGAAACAGTAGATATTAAAATAATAGGTTATTTTTTTCTTATTTAAACCTTAAGAAATCCAGTTATTTTTATTTCCTACCATACTTCTCTGAAACAGGGACAAGTGACAGTGAGCAGCTTGCCAAGCAAAAATTATTCAAAGCTAGAGACCATCCCAATGGCCACCCCACAACCAACTATTGTTCTAGTTGTCTCTGAATCTCATAAGATTTTTGTGCTTATGGCAAAAATATTATAGTTTGCTAAATGTTGGTGTTGTCAACTGCTTTTCAACACCTGCACTGCTTCAAGATTCCTTGTTTTGAGAGAAAAACATTGATTTATATGCTAATTTTGTAATTGCTATACTCTGATGGTGTGTGGAGATTAAGCAACCATTTGATGTTTACTTCCAGCTTTTCCTTTAAAACACCTTTTGGGGGGTGGGAATGAATCTGGATGATGTATTTCCAGTTAGGCAAAGAAGATTTCTGTTTTCTCTGGGTTTCTCCCATTTCCAGGGTGTCATGGAAGGCTGAAATGGCACCACCTTTGCCTACGGCCAGACTGGCAGTGGGAAGTCCTTCACCACGCAGGGAGTTGCAGATCCTTCCTCACAGAAAGGGATCATTCCCAGGGCATTTGAACACATCTTTGAGCCTGTACAGGTGGGTGTGAAAGAGGTCCTGTTGGCAAGGTTTTGCTAGACTTTGGTGTCCTCTGCCAAGAAGTGAGTGCTGATGGCATGAAGCGTGAATGGGGGCAGGTTTGGGGTGCACTGCTCCTCATGCTGAAGCTGAGGCCTGTGCGTGGTCAGATGCACTGCACCCTCATGCCAGATGACATTGTGAGCTGGACATGTGCAAGGACCAGAAGGCCCTGCAGGGTGTGTTGAGTGGTTCCACCTGGAGTGAATGGCCCGGGGAGGTTGGATGAGGTGCTGAAGGGTGGTGGGCACCCAGCTGTGGGTGCCTGTGCTGTGCAGCCTCACCCCCAGTCCTCCCTGTGCTCTGCAGTGTGCTGAAAACACCAAGTTCCTGCTGAGAGCCTCCTACCTGGAGATCTACAATGAGGACATACGAGACCTTCTAGCAGCTGACACCAAGCAGCAGCTGGAGGTGAGGCAGTCTCAATGTGTCTTAATTAAGTGCTTTAATTAGCTCAGATGGGTGTTACCATGACTTACAGAAGTGCAGTAAAGGTCTCTGTCAGAAGCTTGAGTGCCAGAATATGAAGTTACATGAGGAATATGGACGCTAAGAGGGACTTTAGTGAAAGTTTAGGAACAGGATGCAGTCGGAGACATGTCCAGTGTATCCCACATGATAGTGGCTGGTAGCTCAGCAGCAGCTCTGTGAAAATCCTTCACTGGACAAGGGTGGAATAAAGTGCTCATGGGGCAGTTTCTTCCTCATCCTCTTCATCTCATGCTTGTCTCTAAAGCAAGAGGATTCTTGGCCTTATAAATGTTTAATCTGATCTAGTGGAGCCACAGATGATCTCTTTATCTGCCTAAACCAAAAAGGCTGATCCTTTTTGAGGGCACACAGCAGATATTACTCCCCATGGGAACACATGTGACATTTACAGGACCATAGGAGGATAAACTCTCCCAGAATCCTAATCAGGGGGCTGATCTTTATAAAATTTACCTCCTGGTGGCTTTGCAGATCCTTTTGTATGCATGCCTGGAGGGATCTAGAAATCTGTCCCAATTTACTTCCTTGCAGGACTGCCTGTATAAAACCAAGGCAGCAGCACCTTGCAACACTCTGGAATGGCAACAGACCCAAACTGCCTTACAGGGCAGGCATTTCTAAGAGGTTTCTGGCTTTAAGGCAGGCAAACCCCTCTCTGCTCCATGTTCCAAGCGTGCTTTGCCTGTCTCCTGCAGAGGGAGAGTGGGAGAAGGGGACTTCTCGCTGCAGTTTCCCTTCCTTTGTTCCACATCGGCGGTGACACGGGTTTCCATGGCGACGCGGTTGGCACTGGGAGGGCAGGAGCTGGGCAGAGCAGTTTCCAGGGTAACTCTGTCACGCTGCCTGTTGCTGCCTGCACTGAGTACTTGAGGGAGTGTGTCCTGCCGAAACAAATCCCAGGCTGCCCCACTGCGCGTCTCTGAGTCCCCACTTCCCCCAGAATCCCAGTTTTGTTCATTCCTTTGCCTACAGCCGTGTCCTTGGTCAGGTGTTCCTCAGGGACTCTGCAACACCCCCAGACAGAGCCAGGCCAGTCCTGGGGTTCTCAGCAGCACCGACCAGTCACAGTGTATGAGCACTGCCTGTGACTGTACCTGGATTCATCCCGGGCCTCTTGGCTTTGGAACAAGGATAAATCCCACCCAGTTAAGTGTTCAGCCACTTTTGCTCTGTTCTGTGGGATTTTTTTAACAGCAAATGCTGTTTTACATCATTTCTTGTGAACATCTCTGAGGTATCTGAGCCTCCTCTTTGGAACTCACAGTGCCAAATGTGGTTTCTGTTCCTCCATCATGACAACCATATCTCGATATCCCAGCTGACATGATAAAGATAGTTTTGGTGATGAACTTAGCAGATGTGGGGTGTAACAGAGCTGTGGAAAATTAATTTAGCTCATTTAAAATTCCCAGTGTGGAGGGGGCTGGTGTAGGAGTGCAGGAATCTCTGGATTATTTTGTATTTTTATGTAGGTTTGATGGGTAACTCAAAATTTTGGATATTTCCATTGCTTATTAACATTCTGTATGAAACTTTTCATCTGTGCAATTGATAATTACTGAGAACATGCTGTTGGGTATTTAATGTTCTGTCTCAACTTAGGGTCCCAAATAGGATTTTTGTTCATTTAAGAATTAATTAATGTGGAGAGAAATGGTGACAGTTCACCTGTGTGTGATGAGTGGTACTTTGGGAATGTTGTCAGTGAGCTCAAGCCACCCACTCAGAGCAGAGAGTTCAGCAAAGCACCGGGAACAATATCTGGGAATATTGTTTCTGTGCTTTGATATTAAAAAAAGCTTCCTATGGCTGAGGAGATCTTACAGCCTTTGCCATAATAGGTGAGATGTATTTTGATTCTTGTTTAAAATATGCAGCTTAATAATAGAGAAGGTGGAGGGTGGATAGAAGCTGGGTTCCCATGGCCTGGGGGATGTCTGAATCAATCAGCAACTTTTAACTTGAATTCTCTGAGCCATGAAGGTTGTTCCCTCTTTTTCTGTGGTTTTAGTCCTCCTTCAGAAATAAGGCTTTCTGGTGGCAGTCAGATGTGTTTTTCTCATACTGCAGTTTAATTTCAGTTAGCTCTCAAGGGCCATTCCCAGTGTAATTTGCCCTGGTTTCAGTGCCCCTTGCTGTGGCCTGGCTTGTTTGTCCTGTTGGCAGCTGAAGGAGCACCCGGAGCAGGGGGTGCACGTGCAGGGGCTGTCCCTGCACGCCGTGCACAGCGTGGCCCAGTGTGAGCAGCTGATGGACCGGGCTGCAGGAACAGAGCAGTGGCCTTCACCCTCATGAACAAGGGCTCCTCCTGCTCCCACTCCATCTTCACTGTCTGCATGGAAATCTGCGCAGTCGGTGCGTACCTGGAGCCCTGGGCCTGGGCCTGGCAGGGCACAGGGTCTGTGTGGCCATCATCATCCCACAGCTACCCTTAGATCCCAAATGATGGTAGGTGCAGCAGAAAAATCCTCTTCCCTGGGCGAGTGGGCAGCCCTGGCACAGGGTGCCCAGAGCAGCTGTGGCTGCCCTTGGTTCCCTGGAAGTGTCCCAGGCCAGACTGGACAGGGCTT